TAGATCTTCCAGACAAGAAATTAACAAGGAAACAGTGACTCTAAATGACACCCTGGACCAGATGGGTTTAACTGACATTTATAGAACATTTCACCCCAAAGCTGCAGAATATACAGTCTTCTCAAGTGCACATTGGAACATTCACAAAGATAGACCACATATTATGATACAAAGCAAGTCTCTACAAGTTCAAGAAGACTGAAATCATATCAAGCATCTTCTCAGATCACAGTGGAATGAAATTAGAAATCAACTACAGTAAAAACAATTAAAAACACTCAAACACATGGAGGCTAAATAGCATGTTATTAAACAATGAATGGGCTACCAATGAGTTCAAGAAAGAAATAAAAAAAATTCCTGGAAGTAAATGAAAATGAACACACAACAACTTGAAATCTCTGGGACATGGGACACGGCAAAAGCAGTCCTGAGAGGAAAATTCATAGCTCTACAGGATTACCTCAAAAAAATTTTAACAATGAACTATTTAACCCTACAACTTAAAGAACTAGAAAGAGAACAAGAAAAGCCCAGAGTAAGTAGAAGGAAGGAAATAATAAAGATTAGAGCAGAAATAAATGACATCGAGACTAAAAAAAACAATACAAAGAAATCAATGACACCAAGAGCTGGTTTTTTGAAAGGATAAACAACATTGATGAATCATTAGCCAAACTCATCAAGAAACAAAGAGAGAGGACTCAAAATCAGAAACAAAAGTGGTGAATTAACCACTGACACCACAGAAATACAAAGGATTGTAAGAAAATACTATGAACAACTATATGCCCAACAAGCTGGACAATGTGGATGAAAGGGACAGATTCCTAGAAAAATACAATCTTACAAAATTATACAAAGGATTTTGAATAGGCCAATAACAACTAAGGAAATAGAAGCAGTAATCAAAAAACAAACAAACAAACAAAAAAAAAAACTCCCAGCAAACAAAAGCTCAGGTCTGGACAGCTTTACAGGGAAGTTTTACCAAACCTTCAAAGAACAACTAATACCTATCCTCCTCAAACTATTCCTAAAAATTCAAGAGGAAGGAACACTTCCAAACTCTTTTTATGAGGCCATCATTATCCTAATTCCAAAACCCGATAAAGACAGAGAATTACAGGCCAATATCCCTGATGAACATACTAGTAGATGCTAAAATCCTCAACAAAATATTAGCAAATTGGGTCCAGCAATATACTAAAAAGATCATACACCATGACTAAGTGGGAATTCTTCCAGGGATGCAAGGCTGGTATAATATTTGCAAATCAATAAAAATGATACATTACATAAAAAATTGAAAGGCAAAAATCACATGACCATATCAATAGATGCAGAAAAAGCATTTGACAAAATCCAACGCCCATTTTTGATAAAAACTATCAACAAAGTGGGAATAGAGGGAGTACATAAAGACCATACATGA